GGGCTAATGTAGAAGCCTTAATAATTAGAATAGGGTTTTGGGTATATTGTACTAAAATTGTACTAAGGAACCCCCCAAAAAACCCTATTCTAATTATTAAGGCCCCTATATTTGGAGGGGCGCCGAGGAGGCAAACTCGTGCCCGGGATCTTCTCAGTCCATTAGTGGTTTGCCACACGCTGCTCATCTGCGGGAGCCGCAAGCCCTTAATTGAGGAATGTACCTTCGCCTGCAAGGTGATCCTGAACAACTGTATGCGTGTATGTATATGTAACTATGTATATATATATATATAGATATATATATATATATATGTATATTTATTTTGCATTTATTTTGTATGCAGTCATTCATGCATTCATTTGTTTACCCTGTTTGAAGGTTTTGTTTTGTGGTTGTCGCATTTCAGGGCACATGATGTATTGTAGCGAAGGTTGCCTGAACCCGACGCCACGCAACATGTCACGCGCACACACACACACACGAAAGAGAACTGCTGACAGAGTGAACCCCTGAAGGCTTGATAAGCGCCCAACAAAGCCTGAGCCACTCCTTTCCCGACACAGGCGTTCCGCCCAAAACTGCATGATATACTACGCAAGGCCTTATCAAATCCTTCGAACACCCTTCTACAAACCCTTGACAGCTCTCTATCCCCCCTTCCAAAACTCCTTTTCAAGCCCTTTCCTTCGAAACCCCGCTAGAATCGTTGTTAGTGCCTCATAAAATATCCTCTCAAGCCTCCACAACACTTCACAGAAAGCAAGCCGAGGAACGACGGCCGAGAGAGCTCAGGCAGCGCTAAAGGCTGAGTTTTGGCAGTTGTTTGAAGATTCAGAGGAGTTGGGCTTAAAGGTTTGGGGTGTGGCCGGAGGTTTCGCAGTTTGGGAATTCGTTGGGGGGTTGGTGTTGCTTTTTTGGGGTTTATTATTCGAGTTTGTTGCTGGTGTTGGCTTTACGGTTGTTGGGAGTCAGGGTTTGCGCTTTGTTGGGGTTGGTTTCATGGTCTTGAGGGTTGGAGCTGGGGCGGAATTGGGCTGTTGGAGGATTTATGTAGGGTGATGGGCTTGGATGTGGGGTTGGGTTTGGGTGGAGGGTTTTGGACTTTTCTTGGTTTTCTTTAGGGGTTGTAGGGTTCGGGGGCGGTTTGGTTTTATAGCGTTTAATTACGCTTCAGGTTCATTTGCACACACATGTCAGTTTTGGGGTTGGGGATCTGGGTTTTTAGGGCTCCTGCGGTTTAAGGGGCTGTTAGGCCCCAGGCATGAGCATGGGAGTGTCGAAGTGAAGACGGGGAAGCTCCAGAAATGCCGGAGCCACGGACGGTCGAGTGGTGCGACCGTGCAGACGAGAGTCACCAGCCGAAGCCCCAAGTTTGGGGATGAGGCTTCTGGGGATATTGCCGATTGCCAACAGGAAGCCCCCGTCTTGCAGCTGAAAGTGACTGCCAAAGCACATCCGCGCAGACTCGCGGCAGCTCACAAGACCACATCAAAGGCGAAACCCAAAGGCTCGGCGCCTCGCCTGCGAAGCCTGCAAGCGTTCAGCCAACAGGGCAAGCATCCTTGTCGACGACGTGGACATCAATCCTCTCTTAACCCCAGAAGAGGAAGAGTTCGTTGGAAAGGGTCACTTGGGGCTTTGTGTCTTTACCCCAAACTCTATAAGCCTAAACTCCCAGCCATATGCCCTGAGCCTTACAACCCTCAAGCCCTACATCCCGATGTACAACACCAAGTGCTGGAGTGATCCCCAAGCCCTAAGCACTATAGTGGTAAGCATGCTGCCATAATAATTCAATCTTGACAGCAATATCGATAGTAACAATAAGAACAATGATAAGAGTAATAGCAATAACATAAACAATAATGGGAACAATGCCCTCTTGCTTGCTACTGTTAGGGCTCCAATAGTAATAGAGAAGCCTGAATAGATGCGATAATTATGCTACGTAAGGTTCCTAAATCGATTTTTGACTATAACATGCTCCCGTCCCAGACCCTATCCCAATCTTACACACCCCACCCGAACGATACCCGAGGGCTTTTACATAATTACTGCAAAGTCGATTTGCGCCTGGGTGAAAAGGAGTCAACCCTAAACCCTAAACCCCTGAACCGGAACCCTAAACCCCTAAACCTCTGAACCCCCGAACCATATAACCATATAGCCCTAAACCCTAAACCCAGAACCCTGAGCCATATACCCCCAAATCCGAAAGCCCTGAACCCGAAAGCAGATACTCCCAGGCCAAGGCTTCATTCCCAGAACCAAAAAGGGGGTTGGCTACGGCTATAGGGGTTACACTAGGGTGAGGGGTCTAGAGTCTAGAGTTTGGGGTGTGGAATTTTTTTTTGGGTTCAGAGTTTAGCTGGGTTGTCTGCTACGAGCATCTAAGGGAACTCGAGGGAAATCAGATTCGTGACATATTCTGGCGCCGATACTCCGGATCGTCAAAACCCCTGCACTTCTTTGGGTGCCCAACCCTAATTCCCTCAGCCCTTGTAAGGCCCCTTGCTCTCGCTGTTTGCAGCATGGCACAGGCGTTTCTGGACCCACTCAAAGGATCATGGGGCTTCGTGGGTAGGGTCACGGTCAGAAGTAGGGTAAAACTATAGCTATATGTACTTATGACCTCAAATACACCCCACGCCTTCATCCCTACCGAGCCCTTTAAAGGGAACGATGATAGAACCCTAGAGGACCCTTCAAAGGGAACCCGATTATAGAACCCTATAGGACTCTTTAAGGATCCTCTAGGCAAGCAGAGCCTTGGCCCGCAGGTGATTTGCGATGCGCTGTCGACGATGCCCGAAGCGCATCCGATGCACATCCGCATCGAACGGCTTTGAGGGCCATATTTGCACCTGAACATGTCCCCTATACCAGGCCAGTGGTGCTATTTTCCTCCAATATCAACCGTATAAATAGTTCTCCAATACGCAAACCTCTATGCTCAAATCAAGAGTATAGTTAGTATTTCAATACTGTTGAAGTTAGGCTCGTACATTGAAGAAGTCAAGTGGCTCTGTGACGTAGGCTCGCGGCTTGGGACGAAGGACTAAGGCTTAGGGTGTCGGGTTCAGACCTCAGTTCACGGTTGTACTAATTGAATTTAGGATACCCAAACGAATGCATAGCTAATTAGATATAAGTGAAATGTAAATATATATATATATAACAAATAATAAATGAACATAAATAAATAATTAAATATACATATATTGGTTCCTTGGGTTCAAGGTCCTGGCCTAGAAAGGTGTCTCTGCAAGGTCGTGCTGTCAACCTTACACTGCTGCCTTTACATATCATGACTATTTGTCAGGATTGCGGGCTTGGCAAGGCTTGGCTAGGTTGCAGTGCTTCAGGTTTTTTTGGGATAGGTTTAGGCCTTCAGGAGCGGAGGCAGTTTCACTGGGTCCATCGGCCTAGTCCCTTTTTTTAGGACTGAGTAAGTCGAAATCAACACCTAGCGCTTTACTGTAGGTGCCTTACTCATAACTAGTAATGATGTAGTGGGTTATCGCACAACCTAGCCCAAAGCGGATTCCAGTTCTTAGGCATTCATATCAGAACTTCCCATTGGGACTTTCATGAGAAAAGCTTTGAAGCCCCCGAGGAACTGAAACCCCTCAGTCTGAAATCCGAAATCCCGAACCCACGACTGAAACCCCCAACCCGTCCTCAAGGCTCGATTCTGTCGGGGTGCACGGGTTAGGTCCTAGGTATTGACGACGGTCGCGGCACATGCCAGTCGCAGCCGGCGTGTCGCAAAAATCGCGCCTTCTTCCCTGAGTCCGCGTTTTGGGTTTTATGGCCCCCGGTTAGGATAGAAAAGGGGTGACATAGGGCGTCTGCATAACTACTAGACGTATTCCATTTGTACTCCCTCAGAACTTACGAACGATGTAAATACAGATACATACCTGTATACAGTAAATACGCACACATACACCGGTCCACCGGTCCTATTGATCTTGGGGCTTGTATCAAGCATCAACTAGACTGGGTGTGTTGGAATTCACTGAATGCCTTGATCCTTCCGGCAGGATTTGAGGAATCCGCTTGTGGGGTTTGGGCCTTACGTACCGTACCGGGGATTGGGTCCTAGGCAGCTATCAGGGGTGTCTGGGTGGAAGAATCTTGAAACCCCAAACCCACCACCCTAAACCCTAAACCCTAACTACACCCTGAACCCCAAGTTGCCCCTGCACGTTTTGCAGCCGTTGAGCGGCTCAGCCCACTGAGTGGTTATGACTCGCGTCACCACAAGGTGGTTCTCACGAAGTCCTCTGCCAGGGGCTCGGTTCTTTAGGGTTTAGGGTTGGGGTCAGGAGTGCCCATGAAAGTGTCCGACTTGTTCAGGGTTCTATTGGGCGTGTAGGTTTGTTTTGGGAGTCAGGGGTCTGGGGCTGGGGGTTTGGGCTCAGCTACCTAAGTAGGTTACTGTCCCGTAACACCATATCATAGTGCAGGAACCAAGCCTATAGGTAGATAGGCTTCCAGGGTGGTGTTGCATAACACCTGATCGGTCTTGAGCAGCTTCCTGTGTTCGGAAGGTTCAAGAGCAGAAAACACCAATTCTTAACACGCCAAGTCTCCAAATCCCAAGACTCTACAGCAATCGACTCCCTCAAGCCCCGAACNNCCCCCCCCCCCCCCCAAACCCAAACTAAGATGCCCGTGGTCCCTGCTTCCGATGATTTCCGCACGGCCCTGGAGTGATTAGCACAAGTCTGCACCCAAAGCAGCCCAAAGGGTCGTGACTTTTCCACTTCTAGCACCTGCAAACGGCCCAGGTGATACACAGATCCCTACATGTTCCATGCGCGTGCCCTGTTGAACAGAGCCCGCGGAGTTTTGAGGGGCAACCTAGGGTAAGGTTCAGGGGATCCAGTAGACAACCCATGTAGACCTAACGAAAACAAAGGTTATCACTTTGGGTGGTGTGTCTGGGAATCCAGGTGTCTAGACAGGAATCAGGGCTGCAAGCAGAAAACATACTTGACCCATTGCTCGCCGCACAGATTCGGCAGGTGCTCTCAAACACGAGCTTTCATGCCTGACTACGAAAGCGTGAACCCTAGACTCACACACAATCTGAAATTCGGGGTTTCTGGCCCTACTATATTATGCTTGACTTCTGCTGGGGGCACGTAACAGACTTAACACAACACCCCAACACTGTTTTTGTTCGACACCCCTGGTAGTTCACGCTTGTCAAAACCACGGGCTGTCTGTTTTGAACCCGAGGTCCTGAAAACCTACGGAGGAGTGAGGGGGTTCTGCAAGACCTCAAGGTTTGCACTAGCCTCTACTGACTGTGGATTTATGGTATTTGGGGCAAGCCGTCGACATCAAAACTACCTTGGACCCTACACCAGCCTTCAGAGCATGAACCCCCTTGAGCCCCTCAGAATCCCTGAGCCGAGAACCCCGAGAATCCTTGATCTTCTTGATCGGTTTCTGCCGATTGCTCGTATCGTTGCGAGAACCAAAAGAGCCTCGAAGCCCTCATTTCCCGAACTTCAGACCTCCCCCAAGAACTCGTAATATAGGGTCCTTCATAATTAGAATAGGGTTTGGGGTATATTATACTATAGTTTATAATAAGGAACCCGCCAAAACCCTAGTCTAATTATTAAGGCCCCTGCATTAATACCGTTCCTAAACTTCTCCACAGCATCGACTGCCCAAAGAAGCGAAGGTATGCTCAAAGCCAGCAGAGCATCCTCCAAGGTGCCTTACCTTAATATAGACGCCTAAATCATTACCTATATTATCGTTGGAGTTTATGAATATAAATATACTATCAACGAGCCCAAAACCCTATTCTAAGTCTTAAGGCCCCTACATTATGGTTGTCTTTAAAGGGCACTTTTGAGGGCTCTGTGGTAGGGGTTCCCTATGTAAGGGAACGAAAGAGGTCTGTCAGGTCTACAAAAGGGTTTCCCTTAGGCCCTTGAAGGGTAATATTACATTGGGTTCTATAATAGGGTTCCTTTTGAATTGAAGGGTGCCTTGCAGGGTCCGTTTCAGGGCGACGATAAGGGTTCTACAAAGTTTGGTGCGGCGATGTGAAGTTTACGGCTGTTGGAGTTTGGTGTTTAGGAAGCTTGGGCTTTAAGGTTTTTAAGGTTTTGGGATCTTAGAGTGCAGGCTTCAAGGTGTTAGGATTTTAGGATTTAGTCGGCTGGGGGTGGGCTTTAGTTACGAAAAGCTTGAGGTTTAAGGATAGTGCCTTTTTACCTGAGACTGAGGAACCTGGACCTACCCCTAGCATCCCCGCGTTTTGAGGCCCCTCAAAACCGACAGCACCAAAACGAGCTGCGGGTTTCCACGGCTTCGGGAACAATCTTGCAACCAAGAATTGGAGCTCGTTTGCTGAACCTTTGAAAGCCGTTACTACCGGAAGGCCCGAAGTCCCTATACCCTCGAAGCCACATGCCTATGCCTAAGCTGAAACAAGCGCACACCGACACCAAGCGTTTATAAATCGCCATACGGTTTCACAAAACCTCCCTGAACCCTAAACCCGAAGCTTAGACCCCCAACTACTCTTGACTGCAGCCCTCAATGAGGAATACGAAGCCCTTTTGTTGAGGGTACTCTAGTGGAGCACACTTGTCAGAAAGCCAGGCACTTGGATTGCGGTCGTTGGCCTTCCTTGTGCTCATCCATGGCTCGGTAGCAGACGCCTGGTCAAGAAAGGGGAGAGCAACTTCAGGGTTCCAGATTAAGTTTAAAGTTGAGGGTGTAGTGTTTGTAGGGTTTAGAGGGTTTCCGATTAGATTTAAAGTTGAGGGTGTAGTGCTTGTAGGGCTTTTAGGGTTTATAGGGTTTCCGATTAAATTTAAAGTTGAGGGTGTAGTGCTTGTAGGGTTTATAGGGTTTAAAGTTGAGGGTGTCGGGAACATCACAGGGTGTAGGGTTTAGGGTTTAAGGTTTAGGGGTACCTCTGCAAGTAGAAACTTCAGAAGTCTGTGTTCAACACCAGATAAGGCTGCACTCCCTCCAAGGAGGCTTGAAACGGTATCAGGTGTCATCAAAAATCCATGTGGTCGATAAACCATATCAGCAGGTGCCCAAACTTGCTGAGGTTTTGAAAGCTGCTGAAGGTCCATCAAAATCTAGCTCTCGCAATTCATAAACGAACCCTGTAGAAGCCGTTTCAAGCCGTGGGGAGCCCTTGTCAAGCCCGAAGGCGATCCGGGTCGCAGGTGGCCCACAGGCTGAATGTACCTGATTTAAAATGTGAATTTCGAGATGTTATAGAGGAACTTCTTGTGAAAGCCAAAGTAGAGACGAGACAGATATGTGGAGCCTTTGGGTAGAAAACTTGTGTTAGAACAGCAGCATATCCTAACGAAAGCCGTTCATTCACAATAATGCTCCTGCTGTCGTGACTTGAATCAAACTGCTACGCGGCTCAATTGGGCTTCAGAGCTTCCTGATTTTGACGTTCGTGGTGTCGTGGTTTCTTCGAGGCTTCGGGCTTAGGTCGCAGTGAAGCAATGGTTGAAGAAATGCTGCCGTTTATGTCTAGATGTGGTTTCACCTCTCATGGTGATACTTCCCATTCAATGGACGAGATGACCTACATCAGTAACCCCGTGAAGACCCATAGGCGAAACCCTAAAAGCCCTAAATCCGAAAACACAACCTAGCCCCTACATCCGAAACTCTAGACTCCATTAGAACGAGAATTCGAATCCCATGAAACCTTCAGCTTAAACTCCATAGACCATAGAGCAACCTCAGGAGACACTCCACACTGGGCGCCGCAGCTCTGCCAGTAATGCCGAAGTAGCGGTGCCGCGGCCGGAAAGGGGATGTTTTAGGATTTGTGTCT